AAGAGATAAAGTATCAAGCTTGAAATGGCCTCAGTCTATGAACTCAGGACAATGGAAGAAAAAGTCTTGTTGAAGGTTAAGTGCTTGATGTTACTGTCCAAAAAAGTAGGTACACAAGCAGTACAAGAGTACAAGAGAAACAAGAAAAAAAAAGCAGATACATCATCGGAAGCTATCACACTTGTGCACTTCTACATCAACTTTTCTTGACAAAAATAATAGAGAGAAGGAAAGAAACTCTATGTTTTTCTCATTATTCCCTGTAAGATTTTTAGCATCACACATCCTAACATTACATATTCACCTGAACTTACCATGACTGTGAGATCTGTTTCTTGCTTCTTAGAGGAATGTGAGAGAAAAATGTCAAAACTAAAAGAAAATCTAGAGATGATTAGGTAACTGATATCAATTTAGACATAACATTAAAACCTGGGAATTTGTATCTAACATCATCCATTATTTTATTTCTGTCACAACTATCTTCTTTATTCCTATGGTGGACTGCCTAGCCCCTATTTGCATTGCTTCCCTACTTACCTTCTTCCATTTTCCCTCTTTTCCACCTCTACTTATATATATAAATATATATATTGTGCTTGTTGCCTTTCAAGCAGCTTTTACTTTTCAAGTTCTGAACGAAGATCCATGCCTCTTTTATTTTTAATTAACTTCCTTTTGATCCATTTCCTATTGTGTCACACAGAATAATAATTAATAAACGAAAAAACTATATATAAAGCCGCATACAAAGGCCACTAATGAAAAGCATCACCGTGTTGCCAAAATTAATATTAAGAATATTAACACACCATACATGTAAAGCATTATTCGTTGAATATTAGAATAAAAAACACAAATTCATTTAACCCCAGATCAAATAGCGAAAATAACTAGGAGGAGAAATCTCAAATGAGGCAAAAATCTTAGAGCCAATTCACCCAATTGATATAGATATATTCAGCCCAAAAGCATATTTGGGGAATCGGAGACCAAAGAGGGTGGTGATGATGTAAGGATAGATGAAGCAAAGTGAGGCTACAGAGAAGCTTTAAAGATGAGGGAAGCAGAATTCACCTTAGCGAGAGACGAGAATGGAGATAGAAATCAGGAACAACAACATTAAAGACGAGAATGATGAAGCGATGAAATGCCCTTGAGAGTAAGGCAACGATCGTGACGCGAGACCCTGAAGATTTGAAATAACAGGGTTCCAGAGGGTATTTTAAATTATGAAAGAATTGGAATGGTATTTGAATTTGGATTTGGCCCAAATTTAAATCTATAAAATTTTAAGTATCCAAACAATGAATTTGATCCAAATCCAAATCTAAATCCATAGTATCCAAATATAACATTAGTGACCTCAAGTGATTTATCGACTTCACCTTTGATAGCAATTTCGTGATCTCTTATGCCTTCTTCTTCAATTGAAATTTGAATATCAATGGTAGATTTTATCTTCTTCTGCTTTTGTATATTGCATCTGATTTTTAGTTTGTAGATTGTTGATTTTATCTTTATTGCATCTAATTTTATTCTCTTCACAATTGTTTGCTTGGGTTGGATCTTATTTGATTTCATGATTATAATGGTCAGTTCATGGCCATCCATACTTTGAACTGTGTGTAGGAGCAATTTTTTTTAGATGAGCACATTTTAATTTTTTCATATTTTAAATATTAATATTGAATAAAAATTATTTTTTAATTTCATGAAGATACCAAACATATTTTTTAAATTATATATCCATTTTCATTTTCATATCACTTGAAACCATTTCCAACGCATCAAATGAGAAATAAAAGAAGATGTTTCTTAAATTTCTTTTGACAAACACAATTCATATTAGTTATTTATGTTGTTGGATGGATTTTTTATGATATGATTTATGGCCTGTAAATATAATTACTTGTTATATATATAGATATAATTTTTTGAAATTAATAAAAAATTCTATTACAAAATAAAAAAATTAAACAAGAAAGAAAAGGAAAAAAGACAATTAATTAAATTTTTTGCATAGAATCAGTATACCACAATGATCTATAGCCTGTTAAATAAAAATATACCATGTTAATATTAATTAAATCAAATAAAATTTTATATGTTATTATTTTTAATAATTTTATTTTTATTTTTTCTCCTCATCATTATTAATAGAAGAACAAATTTATATTTAATTTAAAGTAAGGTAAATGTGTGCACTGGTCCGTACAACAATTTTACCAAAACTAGTATGCAGAAAGATACTACAACTAGAATACAAAATAGAAGTCATGCGTGCAAGAGTTAGGTATCTATGGCAATATATTTGATTTGATTTAGTTTTGCATGGAGAGCTCATCTATGAAAATTTTATGGAAAGGGGAACCAAGTGAAGAATTTAAGCCATCAAGGTGTGTTCATCAAGGACACCCTATCTCTCCATATATCTTTACCCTGTGTATGGTGAAGCTTAGCCATATGATTGAAGACGAGATTGAGGAAGGAAATTGGAAGCCGATTAGACTAAGTACAAACGGGCCTCCAATATCACACATATTCTTTGCTGATGACCTTTTCCTCTTTGGTGAAGTGAACTCTGATCAGATGGAGGTCATAAATAAATGCTTGGAAACATTTTGTAAGTGGTCAAGATAATTGATGAATAATTGGAAATATGAGATGTGTGTTTCAAAATCTGTTCACTTTTCTAGAGCTATGTTACTAAGTAATCAGCTGGGGGTAAGTCTAATGGGTGATCTGGGAAAATACTTGGGTATACCTCTACTACATAGCAAGGCCAACTACTCACTCTTCAAATCAATTTTGGGAAAAGTCAAGACAAAGCTTTCAGGATGGAAAGGAAAACTCATAACTTTTGCTGGAAGGTCCACTCTCATAAAATCTATCCTTACAATAATTTCGAACTACCATATGCAAACAATGCTCCTTCTAAGGAAATTACTTCAGGAGATTGAAAAAGAGAGCAAATCCTTTTTGTGGGGAAGTCGTGATAGGGAGAAAAAGATTTATCTTGTCTCTTGGGATACGATTAAAAATAAAAAAGACTCAAGAAGTTTAGGAGTTAAGGATCTACAAAGGCAAAATCAAGCTTTTATTCTCAAGCTATGTTGGAACATGGTCACCAATATTGAGGCACTATAAGTGAAAGTCCTACATTCAAATTATAAATGTGGCCAGAATGATGTACCATCAGTAGTCAAAAGAAGAAATTGCTCTGACACTTGAAAAAGCATCGTCAAGGTGTGGGATAAGTTTATTAAGGGGCTTGATCAAAGGTGCCATTCGAGAAAATGTACTAAATTTTGGTATGAGAATTGGTTTGCTACCAATACCCCTCTAATTCAATCTGTGAGAAGTACCAACCCCCTTGTGAATATTGAAGATAATATTGATGATTTCATTATTGCTAGTGGCATGTGGGATATAAACAAAATGGTGACTTGGCTCAATTTCAACACCATTAGTAGAATTACTAGCTCTAGCCCACCAAATGAGTTGAGAGGAAGGAAAAAATTTGTGCGGAAACCATCCATTAATGGATCTTTTAACGTTAAATATGCTTATGACTTTCTTTTTGTAAGTAGAGGTCTTACTAGAGATAATCTCTAGATCAAACTATGGAGATGGTGGATTTCAAAAAAAAAATTAAAAATTTCCTTTGGCTTTTAGGAAAAAACAAATTACACACAACAAAGCTAAGAGAAAAAAGAGGAATAACAACTTTAAGTTCATGTGCATTTGGATGCAATGAATATGAGACCAACATGCATGTTGTTCGTGACTGTAAAATAGCTCGTGAAGCTTGGAGACAAATCATCAAGCCACAATTCTGGAGTAATTTCATGCAACTATAAGGTCTTGACTGGATTAGATGGAACATCAAAACTCTTCAAAAAGGTACCTTAGCATATTACCTTTGCATACTCATGTTGGGAGTTATGGATCATAAGATGCTTAAACCCATTTGGTGATGAGGAGCCTATCATGAAAATAGATGCAAACAAGTACATATGGAAAGCTCTATCTGACATTAGCATGCTGAACAAAATGAATGCACTAACACACCACATAATGACATTGACAAATGGCACCCTCTTAAAAAAGGCTTCATAAGACTTGACGTGGATGGATCTCTTCATGAAACCGGATTAGCTACTTGTAGGGGTCATATGACTGATGCGAATGGCACTTGGGTGAAGGACTTTTGTTGTAAGCTTGAAAATCTACCTTCAACAGTAGCTGAAATAATGGGAATCATTACAAGACTTTAATTATGCTAGGATAAAGGTTTCAGAAAGATAGAAATTTATTTAGACTGTTTGGAAGCAATAAACCTCCTAATTAGAGGCGTGAATGTTGATCATCCTTTTTAGAACTTTATTTCTCATGCTATTAGTTTAATTCATGAGAATTGGATTGTTACTATTAGCTTTGTTTATAGAGATGTGATTAACATTGCTCACCACCTGGTTAGAAAAGTTCATTTTATTGAGGGCTTTTTTTGTATCTTTAATCATTCACCACCTTAGCTGTAAGAGAGTTGATGATGATTGATTTGGCTCTCCCTGTACTTTGCTTGACTTGTTCTTGTTTTTTTCTCTAATTATGAATGAATTCAGTTTTCACAAAAAAAAAAAAAAAGAATACAACATAGAACTGAAATTACACCCAAGGCTAATAACGTCATTGAGCATAATGTCCTTGCAAAAACCTGCTGGTTGGATTTGGATCTTATCAGTACTGTTAAGCCTTCGAAGCTGACCGGGAAGCTTCCTGAAGCAGGAGATTTCCACCGATAAACCTTCCAGATCATGAGCAGATGCGAAGGATGAGAGCCAGAATAGAGCATGCCGAACCACTTCTAAAATCTGAGTTGAGAAACTCGTACTTTCGGTACGGAAGTTCTTTATCACCCTGAGTATTTCCTTATGGAAACAAAAAAAATCAAGACCCATGCATGATTCTTTTTCCTTTTAATCCAGATAGTCCAGCTTCGTTGCATGCAGATGCTTGTTCTTGTGATGATGAGATTGGGATGAGCAGATTCAGAATTTGCCAACATTTCAGATTCTTGGTTGAAGATGATCTTCAGGTTTGTGGACATACCCAGATACTCTTTGATTATTTGTTCCGGTTTAGCCTTGATTCCAGATGAATGATTTGATTCCTCATCTTCCATATTAGACTTAAGAGGAGCAGAATGCTATGAACCCAGTCCACTTTCTTTTCTCGAAACAAAGAAAAAACCTTAAACATTCAGTTTTGAACACCTATCTGTGAAATTTCCTCAGTAGATATTCCCGTACCACCAAACCAAACATTCCTCATGAAATTGCAAGAGCCTCATGAAATTGCAAGAGAAAAAAAGGGATGTTCAAGAGACTCTTCATTATCACATCCAAAGTGATAAAGGGATTCTGAATTCAAATGATGTCTTCTTAAGGTTTCCCCAATCGGCAGGCAATCCTTGATTATTTTCCATCCCACAAGAATGTACTTGAAAGGAAAGTTTAACTGCCCAAGATTCTTTCAGAAAATTCGAGCATTAGCACTGTTTGAATCGATTGAATTTGAGATTAAAGAAAAGCCCTTTTTGGCTGTACAAGTTCCATTAGGAGCCATCCCAAATAAGCTTATCATCTGAATTCAAGTAAGACAAAGGCATTTTCAGGATCTCAGTGCTTGCTTGAGGGACATAGAAAGTGTGAACTAGTTCTTCATTCCATCTAACTGCCAACCAAGGATTGTTAGATTTAATTATAAAGTCAGAGACCTTAGCTGGTTGGTTTTCTCTTGATCCCATACTTCTGTCCCTGGGCCATCAAAGGTGGTTGGAAACATCAATGGTATTTCCATTGCGTACTCTCCACTTTAACTCAGGAAATTATTAATTTGGAGCAATTCCAAATTCCTTTCCATTACCAGGAAGAGTTACAAGGCTTTCTCACAATCTCAGCCTTTGACAAATCAATGTATTCAATCTTCAAAGTCTAAGCAAGCAATGAATCAGGTTTGGCATCTATAAGTCTCCAAACTTGCTTAGCAAGAAGAGATTCATTAACCTGATGTATAGCCTAAGACCCAACCCCCCTTCAGATACTGGAGAGAAAAGCACATTTCTGTTAGCCAGATGCATCCTCTTTTTATCACCATTAAACCCCCAAAAGAAATCAATACAATGAGAGTCAATAATATTGCAATATTTGATAGGGAGTCTGGTGTAGGAAAGCTGATAAATACTAGCAGCAGAGGGGACAGATTTTAATAAAGTTAACCTGGGAGACTGTGAAATAATTCTTCCTTTCTAAGGGTTAATCCTCTTTAAGACAGAATCAGTCATATGTTGATATATGTGATTCTTGTTTCTTTGTGGATCAATCCAAGAACCTAAATATTTCCCCACTCTCTCAGTATAATTTACATTTAAGCTTCTTGCAATGTTAGATTTCTCTTGATCAGTAGTGCTTGGACTAAGAATTAAATTTAATTTTTCAAAATTAATTCGTTGCCCAGACCAAAGCTCATAAGTTTGTAAAACATTCTTTACACACTCTAAACCTTTCTCCGCATACTCAAAGAAGATGATAGAATCATCAGCAGAAAGAAGATGAGATATGGATTTAACATTCTTGCATACCTTAGCACCTTTCCAGAGGCCCTCACGTTCCTTCTTAAGAATCAGGGAAGAGAGCATATTTGCAGAGATGATATAAAGGTAAGGAGATAAGGGGTCTCCTTGCCTTAATCCACTTCTAGTATGAAAAACTTCAGATATTTGCCCATTAAACTGTGTCTAACTGCTGACAGTAAAGATATATTGAGTTATCATTTGAATCCATCTTCTGGGAAATCCCATACGCAATAAGATAGTAGAGATGAAATCCCAAGAAAGCCTATCAAAGGCTTTGGAGAAATCTATCTTGAGAGCAGCCAATTTCTTATTCGTATGTCTTTGGCCATGAATTTGATGAAGAACATCTGCTGCTAAAATTATATTATCTGTAATCAATCTCCCTTTAAGATATGCACTCTGAAATGGAGCAATATAATTCTCAAGAACCTTCTTCAATCTGTTACAAAGGACCTTTGAGACTATCTTATAGGTAACATTACATAAACTTATCAGTCTAAGGTCCTTTAGACTTTGAACTCTATCTCCTTTAGGGATTAAGGTAATTAAGGTCCTGCTCATAGATTTCAGTTAAAAAAACGGACTCCCAAAGGATAAAACCATATCAAACACATCCTTATTCACCAAATCCCAGTGTTTTTGATAAAAAAGAGTGTGAAATCCATTAGATCCAGGGGTGCTGTTCTTTGGAAGTTCAAAAACTGCATTCTTAATTTCATCAGGTGTCAGTGAAGCATCCAATAAAGATCTATCAAAATCAGAAAGTTCTGGAATATCAACGCTTTAAAACTCTGGGATTAAGGAATCAAAGGAAGCAATGTTATTCGCAGTAAGAATGTGCTTAAAATTATCTTAAACCATTTGCAGCAATTCAGATTGATCATCAACCCAAGAACCATCATCTTTTTGCAAAGCTGTGATATAATTCCCCTCATTTTCCTTTTACTTACCATAGTGTGGAAGTACTTTGTGTTTCTCTCACCCTCAATATTCCATTTAATTTTAGCTCGTTGAAGCCAGTAGCTATTCTCCCAATCAAGATAGAATTCCAGTTGATGCCTCTTATCTGCAATTTCTTTCTCAAGAATGGGATCAATTGATTGAGAGGAAGAAATTCTGTTTGTGAGCATCAGCAACTCACTTTCAAGTCTTTTAATCTGAGAAGTGAAATTTCCAATCTGATGTCTACTTCAATTGTATAAGAAGGGAGTGTTATTGAGTTTATTCTGTAAAATGAAGCCTGGGGACCCCTGAAACTCTTGATTCCACTTGTCAAGGATTATAGATTTGCAATCTGAAAACTTGTACCTGAAGTCTTTGAATCTTTTTAGCTTCACTCTCTTATGTTGAGAATGAGTGTAGAAAATTAATGGAGCATGATCTGAAGCAGCCATAGCTAGGGTACAAATATGAGAGGAAGGAAAGGATATCTGCCATTGAGAATTACAGAAGGCTCTATCAATTCGTTCTTTCACATTAGCTTGCCTTTTTTGAAAATTATCCCAAGTGAAAGAGGGGCCATATCAAATAACTTCATGCAATGCAGAATTTTCCACACAAGACACGAATCTGTCCATACCACTTGAACCAGAATTTAAGCTTATCTTATCTTTGGGATCAAATATCTGGTTGAAATCACCAATAATAAGCCAAGGACAATTAACAATACTTGCTTTATGTTCAATCCAGTCCCAAAGGAGATGTCGATTAGATAAGGCAGGGGGCCCATAGACAAAGGATCCATTCATATCATTACTAATTCCAGGAGCTGATACATTAACATGACACACATTGGAATTCATCTCCAAAATAACAAGATTAATAGCACTAGACCAGGTAATAATGGAACCTCCCCCCTTCTAACAGCATCAATACCTTCAAAAAAAGAAAAGCCTAATGCTTCTAGAATGATACTGGCATTTGTTACACTTATTTTAGTTTCTAATAGGTATATCACATCAGGTTTATGGTAGGGGACAATTTGTCTTTTGTCTGGTTCTTTGAACTGCCATGGCTTTTCTAAGGCCACGACAATTCCAGCATAGGAGCTTCATGGCGAACCAGGAAGGTTTGGAGAAGCAGTTTCCTTAGCATTTTCCTGTTCAAATTCTTCACACAAAAGCTAGACGTTCTTCTGGATATGTTCAAGAGAAAAAATTGACATTGCCTTTTGCGGTAGAGAGGATTCAGCAATTTATCATTAGCAAAGATGGTAGTGTTAGAAGCAGATGGAACTGGTGAGTTATTAGGGTTAAATTGTGTATATATATCACAATTCACAGCCATCCATTGATGTTTTTTTTTTTAATTGAAATAGCATTATAATAAATTGTATAATATACTATACCATGATTCCATGCAACAATAGTCACATTGCATATACTTCTTTCTTAGTGAAATACATAAATATTTTCTTTAATCCTATTTATAAGGTATTTAGAGGAGAAATTTTTTGTCATTTTTATAAGGCATCGAATAGACTATTTATTATCCGTTCATATTTTGCCCCTATTTAATATATTGGTTTTATGTTATTTGAATGTGATTCATTAGTGAGGTAAAAAATGTGATTCATTAGCTTTTCACTTTTGCAATTAATATGGGCAAACTTAAAATTTTGCTAATTTTTATGAAGAGTTAATACTTTTTAAGCCTTTTGGTTTCAATAAAAATATTGGAGATGCCTTGTAAATAATATCAAAAGGAATAACTCAGAGATTAAGAATTAAGAAAGTTAGTTTGAATATTGTATATCTATCACAGCCATCCATTTCATGCATTTAAGTTACTGTTTTGTCCTTGTTATAGAAATAAAATTACAATCTTGTCCCATTTGACTTAGAACAAAGAATGTGAACTCAGAGAAAAGACAAGAAGGGTGCAACATTTTTGGGGAAAGGGAAGGGAAAGTTGTAGTCTATAGGTGGAAAGCTCAAAAGCCCCCGAATTAGTTCTCAAGTAGTGGTTGTGGTGGTGTGACAATGGAGGATGACCATCAATGGGATGGTTCAAAGAATTTGGATCAAGCCTTAACCTCAAATCTCCCTTACCCACATCCATCGAAACTCCAGCAAACCCAGCTGCGAGAATGTTCAATGGTGGTTATCAGAGACATTCAGCATCACAATGAATGCTCTGTCTTCCCTCCAGTTAACCACGAAAACTTGCACATTTCTTCTCTATCTCATCAGTGTGACAACATATCGACATTACCTTTGCCGTCCTCAACTATTTCCTCTTCCTTTTCTGGTTTGGACTCTTCATTTTCACCCTCTGATACCGACACTTGGGGCATATCATTACCATTACCGTCTAATTCATTGGTAGAGAAAATTGATGGGTATACTGGGTGGGTGAGAATAAGCTTGAAGACCTTAGTTGGGAAGCTTTTTGCTATGGTTAGTTCGTATCGAAATAATGCTGCCAACAAAAGTGTGATTTGGTCAATTGGGCCAGCGGTTTCTGTTGTGATATTTTCGTGGTGGATGTGCATACGAGTTTGGTGTTGGCTGAAGGAAAGGAAGAGGAGGCGAGAGCAATATGGAAATCACCTAAGGACCATCATTAAAGAGAAAGATGAGGTTTGTTAAGTTTTGATATATCTCTTCTTGCATTTCAAGTATCTGTGGTAATGCTCAAGTTGCATTTATTTGATTTTGAATTTGGATGTTTGTTGTAACACTCTAACCTTACTAACCAAAAACTTAATTATTCATTTCAGCCTAGACTTACTAAAGCCAGCTAGCACGTGAGTCACATTCCGTTACAAATACTCAAATATTTATTTCAATAAAAGTCTCGACACTAAAATTTTATATCAAAATATTTACTTAAAATAAAACAGTTGTGTAATTTCTATGGCCTTATGCCTCAACTATCAGTACTTAATAGTCATCAATACATAATAAACAATCTCAAAAATCAACTCAAATGACAAATGAGTCCTATACCGGCAAATAATTATTCTACAAATTGAAATGGGACTTAAAGCTTACTCAAGCCAAGCCCCGAGCTTCCAGATGCTTCCTTTTTGCTCTGTTAATTATAAGTTTATATAAAATGTTCAAGAGAGGAGTAAGCACTAACCTCTCAGTATCCTAGAGTTCTACCATATATGTACAAACTAACAACTATACACAATTAGCACTATATGCATCTTATTATTTCATCATCATTATTAAATTATGAGCATAGTCATTTATTGGCCATCATTCATAAAAGTTATATACAACAAATCATCATATGCAAGATAGATAGCCCTCTTTATTGCTCCATCAACCTTATGCCACTGATTGGAACCATAAGCTTATCCATGGTTTGGCCCACATGCTGGGCTGATCAAAGCATCTTTGAAGCTTGAGATATATCTAGCAAAATGTACAGAGCTTGAAATCTAAACTATGACTCCCCTTCTTAAAGAACCCAACAAGGAGGTGTCACTGTCCTACATTCCCCCTTTACAAACCTGGTTGAGTAGGTATTGAGGAACGAGGCGCTACATAAGGCTAACCACCGTGTGCAAAGTGGAAGCAAATCACATGGTCACTAATTCATATATACATTAACATCATTATCTTGTCATCAGCCATTCCCAACATTTATATTGGATACAAGCGTCCTTGAAAAGAAATAGAAATGTCTCATTTGATCAACTTAATTTACAAGCATGTTTGAAAGAAATAAACTACTCTTCAATAGTATACAATTTTCATAAAATAAACATTAGTAATCTGTATTTACAAGCATGCTTGAAAAGAAATGCTGACAATAATATATAGCGAAGCTACAAGCATGCTTGACAGGATTCAAGTAACATATAAATTTTTTACAATTAAACTTATGATTATTTGCATTTGTTATCAAACACAAAGCTTGCACACATATGGAAAAATCTCGAGTTACCTGTTCTTCGTGAGCTAACAAGTGGTCCTACAGCAAAAATCTAAACAAATAAAAGTTCTTAGTGAGAGTCTACAGAAATTACATGCAAACAAAAATGTTAAGATACAATTTAAAGTTACTAAATATTACCTTAAAACTAATCTAAAGTGACTCTAAAATTACCCTAGGACCTTAAAGCTATCTTAAAGGACTTTGAAAACTCTCTCCCTCTCTCCCTCTCTTTTCTTTTTAGACCTATGCCCCTTTATAATTTAATTAATTTGTTAGATTAGTCTGAGTTTATGCTAAACTTTAATTATACAAGTTCTTCAAATTAAATCTTTAAGTGTTAATCTAGAACTTTTATTATCTAAAATAGGCATAATGCTGTATGATGCCTTCGGAATAGTATTCTTTGATGAGGGAAGTGTGCAATTATTAAAATGCTATAAAGGAAGCTAACATTATTATAATATATATGTATATAAGGTCAAAGTTACTGTAAAGAAAAGGACGAACAAGGAAGAATGACTATCACATGTGTATATAACGTAGAGGCTAGAGTAGAGAAAAGGACAAACAAGGAGGAATGACTTGATGAACAGTTCCGCGTATTGTATGTATGTGAGCATAGATTTACTATCTACATGTATGAGACACAGGAGGAGGAAAACGAAAGAGAGATGGGAGGAAAGACAAATAGGGATACCTGTGAGAGCTTTTGTGGAACAATAGGTGGCTGTGTCAGAGAAGAGTGAATGAAACTAAATGAATATAGAGGTAGGGTTTTCACTAGGTATATAGGTTTAAACTTGTAATATTTTTTTTTAATTTCTTTTATTATTGTTATTATTTAAATACATATATCTTTGAAGATAATTTTAAGATGATTTGATATATTGCAAAATTTAACAAAATTATCTGACTATTATTATTTTAATTATTTTTTTTAAGTTAGTTTCAAACATTTTTAAATTCAATTACTTTAGTTATTATCTCATATATATATATATATATATATATTTACTGTCTTACTATTTTAAGCTCAATACTTAATCCTATGCCCTTTTTAAAGTGTCTATTGATACTCTAAGACCCAATCATAATTTTAAGACGTTACATTTGTGGAATTTCTTGTTGCAGACAATTATGTGTGATCAACTTCCTAATTCTGTTTGAAATTTTGGGTTTCTGTTGTTGTAGTAGTATTAATGGCGGAATTTGCATGTGGAGAATCCGAAATATCTGTTAGTTACTTAGGTATTGAGCAGTTACTGGGCTAGCATAACTGAATCAGGTAGGGAAAGGGCTATAAATAGTGGTTATCCGTCATGTACTTTGTTTTGACTTTTGGTGGACTCTCTCTAGATTTTTTCCCCTATTCTAGCTCTTATCAGTGGTGATAGTGCTGGCCTTCCTTGGCCATGTTAGAAGCCTCTTAATTGTGGTCAACTCTCAGAGATGGACGATTAGTTGTATGTCTATACAAATGAACAAGTGCTGGTTTAGAAAACTTACTCCGTTGGCTTTTCCTTCAGCAAACTGAACCATCAAGGCCATCAGATTCCTAGGACATGCTGCAAGAAACCATACAACTTTGCCAAATAATGAGAACCATCAAATGTCACTAAGTTGGATGAGTTGATGCGATTGAAGCAGAAGGAAAGTGTGATGGAATATCAAGATGCTTCTGAAAGTTCGATTGTATTTCACTGTTACTCGCTGGACTGAAGGAAGAAATTGCCACTGGGGAACATTTATTGAGCCTTCCACCTTTCTCTATGCCTTGCAATTGGAGTTTCTCAATATAAGAGTTAATGATGGAAAAGGGTGATGGGAATCCTTTTACAAGTGGGAGCTTGGATTCAAAAATCCCCCCCCCCAAAAGAAAAAAAATATTTGCAACTCTGTATGTTGAGGGAGATGATGATACAGTGGGCAAGAACATAACGGGGATTCAACTTGCTGCTCCTCCAGAATTATGTCGTGTCGTGTATAAAATTGTGCAAAAATGAGGATCCAATTCTCACTTCTTAGGCATTGACTCTGTGGTAGATCAGGTCAAGGGTTGTGTTCTTTTCAACTGTGTGCAGGCCAAATGAATGACACCTTTTTTCTTGTGAAAATTTTCCCCCTATCTTCAAACGATTGGGATGATGGACGCTAACTTTTGGTGATTGTGCATCTTCTTATCCACTTTGACATTTCCCTTTTATTATTGTGGATTTAACATTAAAGAAATTGGAAAGAATGAGTTTAGGAGCGGACTGGATTATATAGGCTTGTTGATTTGAATTTGGATTTGCAAAAACCAGTGGCAATGATGAACAAAATTTTGCTCTGATTGCAGAAAATTGGTGCCATCTATTGCTAGACGTGGCTGATTCAGATCAGAATTTTGTTCTCACTTTGACGCTTGTGGTCATGGTTCTGTTTTGAGGGTAGTTCTGATGTGATCCTGAATATGTGGTAGCTAGTTAATGAGGTGGTTAAGTAGCCAGTGGGCTGGCCTAATTGGATCAGGTGGGAAGAGGGTTATACAGTGTTGATATGCTGAGTACCTTTACTTGAGTCCTAATGGAATTTGTCTATGAACCTTCTTTTCCTTTATTTCTTCTCTATTTCATTTCTAGTTCTTATCATTTTCTTGTGTCAGCTTAGCATGTGGATTGAATGGGAATGAGGCTTATGCTTGCTGGCTTAAATAACCCCCATTGCTGCTGTTTGTTTGTTTACCTAATTAATGTATGTTGATTTGGGTAATTTTGTTGGGAACTCTGACCATTTTTCTGAGGCTATACTTTTGAAGTAATAGATACTTTTTTGAGATTCCCAATCTAATTTTTTTTAAATTAGCGAAATCGAAATCTTGAAGCAGATCTAATGGTGAGAAACTCAACCTCTTTAGGTGGAAAAGCACTTAATGGAAGTACCGGTTGTTTTATGGTTGAAAAACATTCTTTTCAGAGGTTTCCTTCTTTGGTATCCCATTAACTTCAAATTCTGATATTTCCAGAGAATCGCTCAACTCTTGGACCGAATTGTGCAAATGAATGAAATACTTGTAGCTCGTCACAAAGCTTTGGGAGCCAAATTGGCAGAATGATTTGCTAATGGTGCGGAATGCGGTACCTATTGTAAGTCACAACCTCATACTCATACACCAGGACTTCAATTCTGACTGACTGCTATACTTGGTCGTTATTCATCTTTAAATCCCATGACTAATACACAGTCTGTGTGTGTCTTTCACAGGTGCCAGTCAGGTTTTAATGTAACATAATTTCATTTTGATCACTCGCAGAGTCTTGCCATAGCAGGGCGATTGACCAGCAGAACAAGCACTAGAATGCAGCATCTCAAGAAGAAAACAAGAAACGCCTGATGTATTAACCGTCATCTCTGGATATACCATTATGCCGTTACAATGGTCAATGGCTGTTTGTCCATTATCCAACTCTTATGGCACAAAATAAGTTACTAGTGCTTTCATTTCTTCCCCTTTTTGGGTGATGGATTTGTACTTTCCTGTTTGTTTTTAGCCTTTTGCGCGTAGGGATGGAAAAATCACGTGCAGACGTTCAGGGCTAAAAATTTCTTGTTTGGTTGTGCAGTTGGTTAACTTGTGAGTTTAACATGGAGGGCTTTCAAAAGGCTCCTTATGGTAGGTCTATATTGGACCTGCATCTCTGAAAAAATTACCTCTTCCTGCATCTGCTGCATATGTCATTCTTTTCACCTTCATGTGAGCGAAATTTGGTCTAAGCGATTTACCGTCATCAATTGGGACTTGGGAGATAGAATCATCTATCATATTTGTGTACAAGAAACAGGAAATTGGTGTCACTGTCAATAGGATTGGTCGTAAGTGGGAAGACTTAAAGGGATTGAGCAGAGGCGATGGCATATATAATTTGTAGGAAACTGCATTGTTTAAAAATCATGATGGCTGAACATGTAGCCCAATTGCCTGAAAGAGGGAAAAGCCAGCATGGATAACTTTGGGCATGGTCGAGCTGGTCCCAAGTTCAGATTAGGCAGGGTTTAGGTAAGAACCTTCACAACCGTGTTGCCCAGCCCTTATAGGTTAGGATTCATTGAAGAGGTGTTTAATTTGCAATTACTTGCTCCCTACGTTAAAAAATATTAGTTATTTTTTAAAGAGTTGGATGTTTAATAATGTAAGAGATTTTTTAATTTTTTAAGGTATGGTCATTGTTTTTTTTTTTAAATACTCTTATTGAGTAAATTATTTTATATTTATTTTAAAGTAAAACATCTTATCAAATATGAGTAAATATAAAAAGATATTAATTTTAAAATAAATAATTACTTTATTGAAAGGTGAGATTTGATTAAAAATATTTTTTATTTTTAAACAAAGAGAGTATAGTTTTGCTCAATTTTAAATTAGGTCTTTATAATTTATTTTATTTTAATTAAATTCTTATAGGTTGACATATTATGGATGTGAAAATTAATAATGAACTAGTAAAGCACTCGTGCAATGCATGAGTCTTATATTATAATTTTTATAAATTAATAATGAATTATTAAATTTTATAAAACAATAATGCTGTTGAAATTTACAAAAAAAATTAATTTAATGCTTTTAGTCAAAATAAAAAAATAATTTAATAAACTGTTTATGTTTTTATTAATTTTTTAATGAAAATTCTGCATATATAATAAATATTTAGAATCCAATCTAATTGTATAAATTTTAAATTATAAAAATTATATAATTAATTTTAATTTTAAAGTTATACAATCATTTAATAAAAATAAAAATTCTCAATTTTTTTAAAAGAAAAAATTTAAAGATTGAAACTTTTAGGGTTTAAAAAATTTAATCATTAAAATTCTAAGAATTTAATTACAATAAAATAAATTATAAAGATTTAATTTAAAATTTAATAAGTACCTGCAGAAGTATTATTTTATTTCATCACCTAAACAACGTCGTTTTGGAAGGCAAGCGATGGATCGGTGACATTGATCTCTAACCTAGCCGCACAGTCACTTCTTCAATTCAATCTTCAATATCTTCAATTCACTTCCTCACCCTCTCTGCGCCTTAATTCGCGTTCGCTCCGTCTTTGTCTTCGAATTGAGTTTACGTGGCTATTGTGTGGTCGTTCGCTGCTGTTCGTCCTCTGGCCTTTATTGTTGCTGTTCGTATCTGCTTCTTTAGAATTGCTCTCGAGGTTTGATTTACACTTCTTCTGTTCGTGTTCGCGTTTGCTTGAACCTTGAATGCCTTTTGCTGTTCTGATTGTGATTGATTTGTGAACACCTTCTCCTGACTCGGTGAATCCTAGTATGTGATTGCAGCTTTATTCATGGTGGAGAAAGAAATTCTTTGAAGTAATGAAAAAGCAAGCTTACTGAATATGATAATTTTGGCACGGCATTGTATTTTCTATTATTACCACCCCTCGACTATATGCAATTATGCATTGTGCAGTAGGGTCTCTCTGATGTGAATTTGTTATTTTGTAGAAAATATCTCTTTATTGTTTTTTTATTATTTACAATCTTGTAATTCCTGTGTTTGTTATATTTATTCTCTAGGAGTTTGAAAGGGAGGATCATAATTCTGCAATAACGCCATCACTTGTTCCGGGAATTATGTTTGTGAAATTGTGACGTTGTGTTCTTCGTGTTTTTTAATGCTGGACAATAGGATTTCCAGGTTTATTTTCTTGTTACTTTTTTAAGGTTCCACTGTTGTTGATAATTTCGGTAAAAATCCCTTCAAAAATAAATTTCAGGGGCTAAACTAGGCATGTCAGCCTGAGTATGCCCGCGCATGCCTGACCCTGCCCTCCCGCCCTGTCCAACCATGGGCATTTTCTGGGCATGGTCGGGCATTGGGATGAATTTTATACCTGAAAGGAGGTTCAGGGTTGGGCAACCAGCAACTTCTCTACATGGCCTGACCTTGTCCATGTACAGCCCTACAGTACCAATAAATGATTTAATCTATTTCAATTTTTTTTGTTACCTCTTGAGAATGATCATGGAACTACTCAACAAGATTATATAATAACAAATAGAGCATATGTTGCTTTGTCAAGAGCAAAGCACATTGAAAGATTGAAAATACTTGCCCATGGGCTTGATTTTTAGTTGTTGTCACATACAAGTAACATTGTTTATAAAGAGGTTTTTGATAATATTCACAATGATTATTAAGATAGGAGATTGTGTTCCTCACAGTGATATTTATGTTGGGCGTGTCCTTATTTTGGACTATTGACTCCATGTTCCAGATGTATAAATTTTTGCAAATTATTTGTGCTTGACTATTGGAATTTATTGTTACTGATAATATTTATTCTAATTTACCTTAACAAAGTAACTTTTAGTGGCCTCCTTCTAAAAAGAACAAAAAATTTAGCGTTTGAGTCTGCTTTGTTAAATTCCTTCCACACGTGTTCCAGTTATTATCCAAAGGAAAGAAATAACAAACATGTAATGGGATACATGTACCATTCACAATTATATATTTTAGAATAAAAGTAATCGATCCTGCGTGGCACTTTAATCCCCGTGCATCGCACGGTGCAGTGCACTAATCATGAAAATTTTATGTTTCCTGGGCTTGATTCTTACATATTCTAATTGTGCATTATCTGACTCCCATCTATTGAGCCAACTTTTTGGGTAACTGAACTTTCATGCCTGTAATAGGGTATCTTGTCTCCAGATACTGGGCGTTATATTTTGAATGGATTGATTTTTAGTTATAGTTATACTTATAAATATGCCAATGTTTCTTTTTTCTGGTGAGCTCTTATTATTATTATTATTATTAATTTATCTGTTTTCTGTATTTAACGGGTAGTGTTTTTATCATCATTGCAGACTCTTGGTTATATTTACTTGCCGTTTGTTGCTCTCAACCAAGGATGGCTTCTAGATTCTGGACACAGGTCATTAAAATTATGTTTCACTGCCCCATTTTTGTTCATTCCTTATCTCCTTTGGAATTGAGCATTTCCACTTTTATTGATACAAGTGCTTTTTTTTTTTTTTACAATGGCAGGGCGGTAGTGACTCTGAGGAGGAGGAGAGTGACTATGATGAAGACGTCGAGAATGTAGCGGGTGAATCTACCAACCAAGCTGTTAAAAGCAGATACTTGCAGGGTAATGCCAGTGATAGTGATGATTCCGATGATCAGAAGCGTGTTGTTAGGTCAGCCAAAGACAAGAGATTTGAAGAAATGTCATCTACAATTGATCAGATGAAGAATGCTATGAAGATTAATGACTGGGTGAGCTTGCAAGAGAGCTTTGATAAAATAAACAAGCAGCTTGAGAAAGTCATGCGCATCGCTGAATCTGAGAAGGTGCCTACTCTTTACATAAAGGCACTTTTGATGTTGGAAGACTTCCTAGCACAGGCTTTGGCAAACAAGGATGCCAAAAAGAAGATGAGTAGTAGTAATGCTAAAGCATTGAACTCAATGAAGCAGAAATTGAAGAAGAATAATAAGCAATATGAGGATTTGATTACTAAATATAGAGAAAATCCTGAGAGTGAGGAGGACAAAGATGAAGAGGAGACTGAGGATGAGGATGAAAGTGAGGAGGAGGTAATTGAGGAGATTGATAACATACAGAAGTCAGATTCTGAAGATGGTAATCAAGATGATGAGAAGGCAGATGCAACTGATGCCCCTTGGGACCAAAAACTTAGCAAGAAAGACAGGCTTATTGATAGGCAGTTTATGAAAGACCCTAGTGAGATCTCATGGGACATGGTCAACAAGAAGTTCAAAGAGGTTGTGGCAGCTAGGGGCAGGAGGGGAACTGGAAGGTTTGAGCAGGTTGAGCAGCTTACCTTCTTAACAAAAGTTGCCAAAACACCGGCACAGAAGCTGGAAATATTTTTCAGTGTTGTTTCCGCTCAATTTGATGTTAATCCTGGTTTAAATGGGCATATGCCTATTAATGTGTGGAAGAAATGCGTGCAGAATATGCTGGTCATTCTTGATATTCTAGTGCAGTATCCAAACATAATTGTTGATGATACAGTGGAGCCTGATGAGAATGAAACTCAGAAGGGCACTGACTACAGTGGACCAATTCGGGTATGGGGCAACTTAGTTTCATTCCTAGAAAGAATTGATGCTGAGTTTTTCAAGAGCTTGCAATGTATTGATCCTCATACTCGTGAGTATGTTGAGAGGCTTAGGGATGAGCCCATGTTTCTGGCTCTTGCTCAGGATGTCCAGGATTATCTTGAAAGGGTTGGAGATTTCAAAGCTTCGTCAAAGGTAGCCCTTAGACGTGCTGAACTCATCTATTACAAACCACAAGAGGTTTATGATGCCATGAGGAAATTGGCTGAATTGGCAGATGACAATAATGGGGAGGTGGATGATGAGTCTAAAGGGTTTGAGGATACAAGGACTCCTACTGCATTTGTTGTTACTCCTGAGCTTGTTCCTCGAAAACCCACCTTCCCAGAGAATAGTAGGATGCTAATGGACTTATTGGTGTCCCTGATATACAAGTATGGGGATGAGCGGACAAAGGCACGTGCTATGCTTTGTGATATATATCACCATGCACTTCTGGATGAGTTCTCAACTGCCCGTGATCTGCTGCTTATGAGCCATTTGCAGGATAGTGTTCAGCATATGGACATATCGACACAGATACTTTTTAACAGGGCCATGTCACAGTTAGGTCTCTGTGCT